ACTGGGGAGTTCAAGGCAACGAGCTAGCTCATGCCACCGCCCGAGCTCTCTTACCCCGGGACTCTAACTTCAGCGTAGGGACTCCAGCTCCTCCAGATCAGGCGGCCCACCTGACCACATACACTGAAATATTACAAAACCAAAGGCTTGCGCGGAGGAAATATCCTCCACCACATCCTCAACTCAGTAAAGCCGCACAGGTAGCCTGGCGCCGCTTACAAACGTTATCGTATTTGAACCCACACGTACTCTCCAAAATCGACCCTGATAAGTACCCCTCACCAACATGCAGGCTATGCAACACTAATATAGCTACACTTTATCACATGGCATGGGAGTGCCAGTGCAACACATCAAAAACGGATGTCTTTAGGGATTTCAGTAGAGATGGATGGGAGGCGGCACTGGTCCAAGAGGCCCTGGTGGCCCGCGCAAGGACCGGGGCGAAAGCCAATGGGATCCCGGACTAGGGACTCCACCCATTCAGCAATATGTATAATAAAAGTTTTTCATCCATCCATCCATTCAGTGACCACCAGGTGCTGCCAACTCTAGAGAAATTTCTCTAGTTCTAACACGGAGGAAGGAAAGGTAAGGAGAGGGCATGCCCAGCCGGCGGAGGGCGTAAACAATGTGGCGGAAATTACGTCACGCGCGGTCATATTCACTAGGCACAATGGCGGCGTTTTGTTTTTATTGATGTAGTGCGGTGCGGCACCGTTCAGGCAGTCCAGCGGCGGTGTGCGCATTTTCATGGGCCTCGCACCTAACCGTGGCGTACTGCAGGTGTTCGACAGCATCCATTCTTTGTGCCGCATTGTTAGCTACGCGATTTTCCTCCGGTGGTGGTTGTAACCAGGTGTCTGAACTAGAAACCACGGAACGAGCGCGCGTATACGTACTCCGAATTTGCAGCGTCCGTCAAAATTATGCTGAAAAGCCATCATAGAAAACGACTATGCTCAAGAATTCGTTCAATGAATGCCTTGCAGGTTAGTGACAGTTATGCGGTGTTGCTTTTTATGACAACGGACGATGCATTTGCGGTCCACAGGCCCTTATTAAGACTGTAATCTAATCTTGCTTTTCATGTTCCTGTACAGTTACCGGTTGGCGCTGAGCTCTGTTCCAGATAAGGAAGACAGAAACAAGCGCCTTCTTTATTTTCCTCTAATGACTAGCCACTTATCCCGGAGGCACCTTCCCTCGCATTTGACTGGTTTTTCCCTGCCGTCCTTGGCGGCTGTGTCGACGCGTGAAGCTTCCCGCAGACCTTTTCTCACGCATTCCTTCGGCTAACTTTCCCACCTTTCGCCCTAACGCGATCCTGGTCTCTGTTCTCCGTAGCTACTAGTGCGCGTGAATCACACTGGAGACGTGTTCCCACGCACTTTCGGGTGGTCCTCGCTGCTTTCGTCCTAATGAAATCATGGCCTTTGGGGTATCCGTAGGAACCAGTGCGCGTCGGACAAAAGAGGGGCGAAAACAAAGAGGCCGGCGCAAACTCAACGGGCTGCCACGCACACAAGCTCCCAGGACGCCGACTTTACTGGCATAATTACGGACCTCCGGGTTTGTTGCAGGGAAGACATTTTTTTCCTTTTTTTTTATCGTTGTGTCTAGTCTACAGCCTGACCAAAAATTTCATAAAACCCAAAGAGAAGCGCAAAAAGGGAAAAAGTGATCTGAAAGTAGCTGTACAAATTTCGGTGCCTGATTCGTCGCGCGGCAATGTCCGAAATATAATCTTTATTTTCACAAAGAACACATCAAATAAAAAAAAAAACTTAACGAGCAACTTGCCGTGTTTATTGTTAATGCCGGCAGTGCAAGAGTACAACAGCCATACGCAGAGATTTCGTCAACCGTATCGCGGCAATACAGCGTGTTGAAATCCGTTCCGTTGGTTTCGGTTAGCACCGACGCACGCGGCGCGCAGGCCACGTGCTTTTTGAGACAGAGAGGGAGTCGCGCCTTCTGCTTCGCATTCACATGTAAACAAGAGAGAATTTGCCTAGCCAATATGGCCGACTTCCGGCTTCATCGCGGCTTCACAATGAGTGACGTCAGGGGGAGCTATCCTTACCTTTCCTCCCTCCGTGAGATCTAAGGAATTTTGCTTGTACTTAAAGGGAAATTTGTCAACATCTAGGGAAATTTCTCGCTTCCACGTGAAGCAAGCTGATCGACGGGGGGACCTCCCGCCCAGAATCTTGTTCCTTCTTCCACTTTTCCTCTTTTACACCCCCTCTTCAATCACCCAAAAGCGCTGTGCCATGCCCAGTAGCAGTTCCGAGGGGTGCAAAGGGGCGACAGGGCCGGTCTCCGCCCCCAACGGTGTCAGGCTCTTTCCTGCATGGTGTGAGCGCTCTCCTCTCCCCCACTTCATTGTGGTTCATTCTGTGCCGTCCGTGTTCGACGTCGATTGCCTGAATCCCGGTTCGAACCAATCAAAAAGTGCCCTCACTCGAGTCCGCCAAGTATATGTTTTCCTTTAGACCGACCTACCATTTTCTCGCATTTCACCCGCGGCGTTATTTCTTTCGTTTTTTTTTTATCGGTTTTCCCTTTTTTGTGGACGCTGTCACGCTGCTAGTGAGCTGTCTCTTTCTTGTCTCGGTGTCGTCGTTTTGTTCTCGCGCTATAACTATCGTCTGGCCCGTGGAGCCACGCGATTCCACCAAGGTCACCAAGGTTTCTGTGAAAAGCGCAGCCAGAGCAGTAGGCTGCATGTACATGCGGTTATTTGCACAGCTAAAAAAAAAAGTGGAAAAAAAGTTGAGAAAAAAGTGGCTGGTGGAAGACTGGAAGGATATATTTGAAACGAATATATGGCAGTCAACATTTGAATTAAACATTTTTTCGAAACCATTCAGCAGGTTGCGAGAGAGGAACTGCCGACTGGCATATTTTATGCTTTCATGGTTAAACTATTTTTTCGTCACAATATCTTGTATCAGATATTATGACAAAGCTTGAGAGTATGTTTTTCAGGACATTGTTTATTAGTTATGTAAGCGTGCATGACTTCATGTTTCATATGAACACCACCAAGCATTTTCTGCAGGAGAGTTGCAAAACAACAGAATAGATTTTTTTATGCTTGCTCGCCGGTATATTTCACGTACTGCACTTTATGCTCTTCTGGTTATTATTATTATTAATATTATTATTACTTAACTTGCATGCCTTTACAAGTGCACAGTTACTGTATTGTAGTGTAAGATTTGTGTTTTGCATTGATCAGCTAGCAGTGTTCTTAAATATTATTCTGATAATTTATCCCTTCTTCGGCCTATATAATGCTTTTTTATAGGTTATTTTGTATAAAACACTGTGATACGACATGCCCAACCCTTCCCCCCCCCCCCAATGTGATGACCGCTTACCCTTGCGATTTCATGAAATAAAATGTTTAAAGGAGCACTGACATCAAATTTACTCATGCCAAGATTTTTGCGTCAGCGAGTAGCTATAGAACCTGTAGCAGCGATTCACGACCTAAAACGCAACTGAGGGATGAAAAACTATCATTTTTATTGATTTATATCACTGGGACCTAGCACTATTAAAAAACGGCCGGCAACCCCACCATTTTTAGCGCTTGGAGCACCAGCAGTGGCGCTACCTCGCGGTCACCTCCAGATCACAACACAGCTGACCACTTTTCCACAGAAAAGAGTGACGTCAGGCTCAGCTGCTCCGCAAACATTTCGTCTGCTAGGCGGACACATTCAGTCATGCCTTGTCACCTGCATTGCTGTCGTCACCGCACAAAGTGTCGACTCGTGTTCAATACGAAAGTCTGAAGCTTGGAATCCCCGCGATTCGCAATGTCGCGAATTATTTTTTCTTCGATCGACTTTTTGCAGAGCAGCAATTCTGAAATAGACGCCGTTCCAAGCAGCACTGCAGAGGTGCCCGAGGATGCACTCTTCAGCCATGTTCACTCGTGTGTCTCAGTTAGCTATATTGGTGTGTTTTTTCGTTCAAAGCATTCCGGTATACACACAGGGGTCAATGCAATATAGCTACCGCGAATGAGCATCGGCGGAGAAATAGAATACGTTTGCTGCTTGCAGGTTCTTTATTGCGCCTCTAGATGGCTCCACCTATCCAGCTTCCCGCGGTTAACACGGTATTACCACTTTTACGTGGACGCAGATTTTACAGATGAACTAAACTTCAACGATACCTGCGTGTTACTTGTTAGCGATGATATCCGACTACACGCTCTTCCACGTTTGATAGCTTGCGGTCGTGTTGATGTGCAACACATACGTGATATGAAAACACACCCCGATTGCGGTTTTTCCGTGCTTCAAACTAGACGACTGCAACTTGCCTGTAAATAACAACGATTCCCCGACATGCTGACGGACAAGCACACGTTTAATCATGCTCCTTTCTTTCGATATTCTTTTAAAGCTGGTTTTTATCTTGATAATTTCACATAATCATTCAAACCGGTGCGATGAAGATCAGACCTGACGAGCCACGGCCGGGTTAGACTGCACCTGCGCGCGGTAGCCCGGCCGTAGGCGAGCTAGTGCGTTTCTGCACTTCAGCGCCAGTCGGCGCTACAATAAGAACACTCGGATTGTACACGTCATCGCTACTAGGGCATCGTCACTCAGGATGGTATTTGTGGAATGTATCACACCGAACATGTAGCACTAGTGTCGATGTCGCAGGGCAGTCTATTTTCCGTTTTTTCTCCTGAGCTTTTCTATGCTATTTGACATTGAATTAAAATAACATCCACGCGACGAATGCTGTTCAAATTTGGCCACTTGTCAGAAGATTAAAAATAGCGCTCGTACAATACAGAGATTAGGTCCAAATTCAGGAGTCTCCCTGATTATTCGGGAGAGTTAGCAGGCAAGAGTGATGAACTGAAGTAGACCCACCTGCTGCTTCGACACAACACATGTAGCGATGGCTCAGGCCCTTTTGCTTCAAACAGTCAGGCCAGATGAAAAAAGACAGTGCAACAAAAGTCGAGGCTTACTTTGTATATTAAAAACTTTCCACACGTCTTATAGACATCAGAAGAGCAAAAAAATTGCGCCTCCATTGCCTCAACACTCATATTTACAAGGGACGAAGCAAATAGAAACATATTTATATATATCCTCTAGGTTGTTACAACCACAGCAAAATAAATAGGTCCTGAAAAAAAAAACACAAAGAGCATGCACACAGTCTATGTACAAATCTGTTCTTATAACCCTACAGCTGGTCACACCTAGGAAGCTCCTACATACATGCCAGGCACACATGACAACCCCCCCCCCCCCCCCGCCCCCGCTTTGATGAAATCGGTCTGCAAATACATCTGCGCACCATAATTAAATGCTGTGGCCATACCACACATTTGCTACTGATATGCTCTGGAAAGCTTGACTTGTAGCCACAGGCTGTCATCAAATTTCACACATGCTGCAGGCATGGCAATGAGTGCATGTTAAGACCTTGTCAAGATGATGCATATGAGCAGTAAAAATTGGGATGAAGGGGTTAGACCACAAAAAGGCTGGAAATGTGCCTCACCACACATGCAAGCCATTATTGACACACACACACTATCTCGGGACTTGCAGCACCCCACCAGAGAGAGTATTGTGGGATGAAACTAAAATGCTGATTATCTTGGCAGCCATTTTAAGTGAAGTGCTTTGATCGGAGGAGCCACCTGTGCGTAAATAAACACAAACAGCAAGGCCAGTCCACAAAATTTCTAAACCATGATTTCCATACAAGCGCAGCATCACTGGCCCAATCAAACAAAAAATTTATTTGGAAAATAAATAAAAATGTACACATATTACCAATTGTGCTTACCTGTGTGTAAATAAGCACAAACAGCAAGGCCAGTCAACAAAATTTCTAAACCACAATTTCCATATGAGCGCAGCATCAGTGGCACAATCAAAGAAATTCATTTGGAAAATAAATAAAAATGTCCACCTATTACCAATTGTGCCCACCTGTGTGCAAATAAACAAAAGCAACAAGGCCAGTCAACAAAATTTCTACACCACAATTTCTATACAAGTGCAGCATCACTGGCACAATCAAAGAAATTCATTTGGAAAATAAATAAAAATGTCCATCTATTACCAATTGTGCCCACCTGTGTGTAAATAAACAAAAACAACAAGGCCAGTCAACAAAATTTCTAAACCACAATTTCTATACAAGTGCAGCATCAATGGCACAATCAAACAAAGAAATTCATTTGGAAAATAAATAAAAATGTCCATCTATTACCAATTGTGCCCACCTGTGTGTAAATAAACAAAAACAACAAGGCCAGTCAACAAAATTTCTAAACCACAATTTCCACACAAGCGTGACATCACTGGCACAGTCAAACAAAAAAAAATTCATTTGGAAAATGTCCACATAATACCAATTGTGCAAAAAATCGATCTGAACACACAGCCTTTGAATGTGTGCAAAAATTGTTGACTGATAGAAACAAAAACAAATGTAAAATCAGTGTCCACCGATAGAAACAAAAAACAAATGTAAAATCAGTGTCCACTGATAGAAACAAGAAACAAATGTAAAATATACTGACAAAAATCACCGGCCATGTGCCACTCTTTAAAAGAAAAAGGCAACATGACCATGTAGCCACCAAAAGGGGGGAAGGGAGGGGGGAGGTTTGACAAGTGAACTCTGCCACTTTTCAACTAAAAAAGAAAGAAAGAAGGATGTGTTAGAGGCTACATTGCAACAAATGGGAAATTCATCAGATAACACGAAGGGGGGGGGGGGGGAGAGAGATAGCGGGAAAATAAAGCTTGACGAGTGAACCCTGCCACTTTTTTATTAAAAAAAAGAAAGAAAGGAGGGTGTGTTAGAGGTTACATTGCAAAAAACAGGAAATTCATCAGACAACACGGGGGGGGGGGGGGGGGGGAAGCTCGACAAGTGAACCCTACTACTTTTCTATAAAAAAATAACTGAAGTGACAAGCTTGTCAAGTGACCCCTGCCACTTTTCTATTAAAGAAAAAAATAAAGAAATGACAAGCTTGTCAAGTGACCCCTGCCACTTTTCTGTTAAAGAAAGAAAGAAAGAAGGGTGTGTTAGAGGCTACATTGCAACAAATGGGAAATTCATCTGACAACACAAGTGGGGGGGGGGGGGGGATGCAAGGGATAGGGAAAAAAAGATCTTGACAAGTGAACCCTGCCACTTTTCTGTTAAAAAAGAAAGAATGAAGGGTGTGTTAGAGGCTACATGGCCATGTAGCCACTGCAAACTCAAATGCGCATGAACCATGCAGCCAAGTTCCAACTGTCCCCTCCAAGCCAACCGCAAGCTAACACCTCAATGGCATGCACAAACAAATAACAGCTTGGCCACACACATGGTGATTGTGGAGTCCCTATGTACACAATGAGGGAGGACTGTCCCATTGCATTTGCCACTGAAGTGGTTGGCAAAAAGAGGCACCCCCAGAACTGGGCGAAGGTTGGCAAATGTGTCCCCACCAGTGCACAGCAGGATGCTAGGAAACATGAGTGCAGCAGTCTTATATCACAAGTCACCAGCACTAGCGAGGCACAGTCGTAATGGTTTGGACCAGCTATGCTCGGTGGTGCTTCCTGGCCATGCGGCAGGAATCACAGCATCTCCTCGAAAGTTGCCATAATGTCACTCTGGCGGTTCATGTCAATCTGACCAGCCATCTGAAGAGAGAGAACACACATTTTGCAGCACATGCCATCGTTCTAAATGCAGCAAAGTCTCATCATTTCGGATTTCAGCGTAACTAAAAAAAAAATGGCACAGCTTTACCGGAAAGGCGAAGCAATGAATGCGATAGCAACAAATTGAAAGGTCACGCGCAGAATGGAAAGGAGATCGAAACATGCCCCACGTTCCTCACGCACAAATGACACACAAAACGTACTCACAGGTACGAATGCACACGAATAAGTGTCTCATTGGTTACTTTGCTGTGTCTGAAAAGCGCAAGCTTTTCGCAAGCGGAGACTCAAATGATTGTAGTGACCTTTGTGCACCCGGTAACTACAACAGAATCGTTCCAGGTAAAGCCCGAGGCCAGCCAAGGCATACGACCTTCTCATCCTCGCCGCCGCGAGATAAGGGCCCTTGAGGTACGCGTGGGAGATTAGAGCAAGTGCCACCGCACGATGAGGCGACGCGCTCATTGCGCCATCTTGCTAGTAATGCTGAAAACACAATTCCCCCCTGAGATCCTCGTGAGCAGCAGTAAGTAGTAGATATATGTAGATTGCCGTTTGAACAGTGAAGGATGTGCTCCGGGTTGGCTTAGTGTTTAACGCCTCGCTTTCATGACGCAGAGGCCCCATGTTAGATTCCGCGCGCTAGAGTGTTTTTTTCTGAATTTTTTTTTTCCTTTGCGTTTTCATATATATAGGTATGTAGACATATGTGGCGCATGACATCGACGCCGACGCTGGCGGCAGAATACAGCCGAGAGTGTCCATATAATTGCTATCACAATAAAATGTCCAAATTAACCAAACGTCAACAATCAAGAAGACCACACAAATTTTCTGCAAAAGTCTCATTTGTATACAGTCGAGCCCGCTTATAACGAACTTGAGCGTGACGCGGCATCTGTTCGCTGTATCCCGAAGTTCGTAGTAAATGAAGCACAGCTTTTAAAAAGAGTTGCGAGTGAAAACACAAACTTTTTTGCCACAGAAAGTTCGTGATGCACGTGTTTCGAAGAGCAGAAGCGATAAGGGTGGTCTAGAGTTCATTTAAAACAGCAGAGTGCTCGTTCGCCGAGGCCCGTGGCACAAGCTGCATGAGGCACTGGCTCCAAACTTTTGTCGTTCTTGCAATCCGATTCCTCCAAATCGCTCTCACCCCGTACATCATTCACAATGCCCCAATCCATGCACGGCTCCGCAGTGTCGGCATCATCATCGGCCGTAATTACACCATCCGCACAGATGTCCCACCCACTCTCCCAGGTCGGAGTCGACGACGCGCTGCCACAAATCGCCGCCGCAGTTCGGAAGTTTCAGGCGCGGCATCGGGCCCGACGTCGAGGAAGTTTGCCTCGCAAAAACAGTTTCGCGCGCATGTAGCCGTCACCACCACCCACGAAATATTCACCATCTCCACAGCTGAATACCGGGACGCCCGAAGCGGCAAGTTGGCTATCAGGTGGTCAAAAGCAATAAGCAAGCGCTCCGCAATGCGGCACCTAAAGCCCGGATTATGCTCAAGCTAAGCGGTCACACTTTCGACGTTTTGTTGAGCGGCAGAAAAAAGCGTGCTAGTCCTCCCATCGGCCATCATGACCACACACGCACACCAAGAGCGAGCAAGACGCGCGCACGCGACACACATTCCAAAACGCACGGAACAGCTTTGGGCCTGTTTCCAGTCAGAAAACGAAACTGATTCGAGCAAGCGTGGTGGCGTTGGGGAGCGGTGGAGACGGGCAAAGGGGTTGTGATCAAGAGAGCAGAGCAGACTTGCGAGAGAAGGGCAAGGAGTTGCGATAAAGAGAGGGGAAGATGCGGCGGGAGGGGAAACATTCGCCACTGCGCTGGAACATCATATTTTATCGTAGCCTGAACACACATTAAATTTGCCTACACTTTCGTTTTATCTCTCTAGCGATCTACGCTTCAGCTTTTTTTTTTTTTACCTTCACACACGTCAATGTTTATTATGTGTCACCATTGGATGCTTTATTATGTATCTGTATTCTTTTATGCTCAGCTCAGTGTTAATGGACTGTCGCCTTTCTGCATTTCGAAATCGTTATCTCCCCCCTACACTAATGCCCCTCGCGGGCGCTGTAGGTACTGTAAATAAATAAAAAACTGACATACCAGGAAAGTTTCATGCAAGCAAGCAAACAGCTGCTAAGAAGCTCTTCATCCTCAAGAACTTTTCCATGTATGAGTTGAGCGAAATAGGGTGCACACAGTCAAAACGAAGCCACCGAGAGCCACCCTTGTTGTGGAAAGCTCGTGTGCGTAGACTGATCTACTAGCAACATTATCAGTGCATCCATGCCGACCCCTTCCACAGGATTGAACGCTTTCACTTGTCTAAGCAATTGTCATGTTCAGATGGGGAATACGACAACGCTTTTTCCTTGCGCAAATAGTAGCATCCAGTATCATATCAGGGTACAAGCATGAACTGTGAAAAAGTGCCGAATATATTCGAGTGTTTTGCACTAAGGCAATGCTTGTCATATGGTCCCCTTAACTATATATCAATGGGATGCTACTGTGTTGTGTCTGGACTAGCAACTCTGGCGCAAAATTTCTTTCAACTCCCTTCAAAACCTATTTATTCAATGTTTGCATTGCCCACCACTTTCAATTCTTTCTGTGACCAGAACATTCTTTGAATGTACCGTGAAAGATAGTGCACTTGTATAAGAGCCCATTTTATTGTGCACCGTGTTTGCTTGCTTGTTTGCTCTACATTTTTAGTTTCTAGTTTTCATGTCTGTGCTATTTTTGCACAGTGTATACCGCTCTACCAATATGTATGGGGGGAACTGAGGGACTTTTCTTCCCCTTCTTCGCAGCCATGTTTCGATTTATACACTTCTGAAATAAAGATTCAATTCACTTCAACTTTCTTTGTAGCTGAGGTCAATTTGTTTCAAGATATTCAGGGTTTAGTGAATGGATACCATACAACACCCAGATCCGTAATTTGAGAGCTCGTAATATAAAGCAACATTTAAAACATAGCATGCATTCTTGTAGCGTCAAAATTAGAATGATCTATCTGGAACTAACAAGAAAATTCTTCGTATGCGGAGAACTTTTGAGCAAATGTGAACCACAGTACTACAGTTGAACCTCGCTACAACGAAACTCACGGGGCACGTAAAATATTTTGTTGAAGCGAGAATTTTGTTGTAGTGAAATAGAAAAAATATAGCTGATCTGAGCTAGCAAAACAAAGGAACGTTTATTTTTAAAATTAAAGAAGTGTCTGCTGCTTCCTATTCTATCCCAGCAGCGTCACGACGCGATTCACAGTTATGCATAGCAAGGCCATGGTGAAAACCCCGCTGAAACAACGCCTACAACAGTTTTTGTGAACGTACCAAACATTCGCATAAACACGTTAGCACCAGCAGCTGTCCGCCATCAAAGTGTATCCGACAACGCCAAGATGGAGGCAGGGTATCGTGGAGCGGTGACCTTTGCCTTATTCTATGCCATTCTTATCATTTATCCCTCGCGGCTAGCTGATTTAGTCGATAATACGGATGAACATCCGCTCTGATTACGTACCACATTTGCTAAGCGCGAATAAAATGATAAGCATTGGAATCGGAAAAGACATCCCTCCGTGGTTGCACCCAGCAGCTGCTGCAGCTGCATGACGGAAACTACGAACTGAGCGACTGAGCTTCAGCTTCAGATCGTCTTCGGCTCAAAAGCAAACCAGTGGCAAAAGCAGGGCCTGGCAGGGCAGTCTCATTGCCATCGTTATCGAGCAATAGTGGCGCCCATGCTTGCTGAACAGCGGCGGTTTCTGGTGGTGCTAACACGTGTTTTAGACTTCATCGACGTACATTAAGGTTCTGAAAATGCTCCAAAATGTTAAAGATAGGGTTTCCTGTACAGCAATAAATATCTGAGCCTGGAATCACATCGTGAAATTTCGTTGAAGCAGGACAGCAAAAGAAAAAAAAAGTTCGTTGTGGCGACAATATTCATGCATTGACTCCTATGCTGACGAGGAACCGTGAATTTTTCGTTGTAGCGGAAATTTCGTTGTAGCGGCGTTCATAGTAGCGGGTTTTGACTGTATAACCTGTCAAGCCTGGACAACAGTTTCCTATGCAAGTTCACATATTTCATGCCCTAGGGACGGAAGCATTCCTATGCAAGAAGCACTGACCGCCTCACGGCGCCGCCGCTCTTGCTCCCGCAGGCGCTGCCGTTCCCGCTCGCTGACAGCGTTCTCAGTCGGGCTGGCAGGCGGTGGAGCCGCAGGGGCAGCCCGACGGCCCTCGTCCTCGTCGGCAGTCACACTGGTGGAAGGGGCCAGGCGGGGCGGCACCGAGCGCTGCTTCTCCTGCTCCTGCCGCAGGCGCTCTTTCTCGGCCAGCTCACGCTGCCGCCGCTGCTCCTGGGCCTCAAATAGCTGCCGCTGCTGTGAATTGCACAACAGTGGCACGCACCACTGAGCATCCGTAGCTCTACAAGTGCTGCAGGTCAAGCTATGCACGTTGGCTTCATAGAACAATGGCTTGTACAACGCAAGACAAGCCATTGCAGCACAAAATATGCTAGGATCTACGTGGACTATCTATCACTACCTACTACCATACTATCTTTCACGTAGATTCTGGCACCAGGCAATGAATGTCACAGTCGTACTTGCAAAAAGGGGGGAGAAAATCATCCTTTATTTGTTTTCTCCTCTGGGCTATTGTAAATATGCAGGACCACTCCTAAATTACAGTGCCAAAACAGCGACGTTAACCCAGGTACTCCTGTTCAACAGTCCAGAAAGAAATCTGCACTCTGTCTATGTGCCTTAATTTTTTCCTGTCCTTTAGTGCAAACAAGAATACCTACTGCTATTCTTGTCTTTTATATGATGTGTTTTTTGTAGGAAGGGTACCACGTACGAGTCTTCTCATCAACCCCAATTTTCAGGTACACACTGGTGCCTCTTAGATCCATTTGACTCACATCAGTGCCTTTTATAAAAGAGTTTGGCTGTATTAAATTATTTGGAGACTTGACAGACACCCTTAGTCAGAATATTGCTAACAATCAATGACTTGGGCAATTGCACAACGCACATGATGTACCATTCTGACAATACTGATCCCGGCTATAATTCGTTAGCAATAACGCGAAAAAGGAAACTATCTTAGGAACAATATTTGATGGCAAACGCTTCCACAAACATGCTAATACCATAGCAAGTGCAGCAGATCAATGCCATTCAACTGACGGTCGCCACTTTTGTCCCTACATGAAACTTTTGCGGGAGTGTCATCACCAATAAAAAGTATTGAAGGACCCTGGTGTTACCAAATCATGTTTACCCACATAACCCTCCCATGCCCTCATCTAAGTGCTCAAATAGTGGGGAAGAAGTTGCAAAGAAAGAAGAGGGTTTTTTGCTACTGTCTGAATACTGACATAATCAGTCTTCACACGGCATAATTTTTATTGTGTTAGTAATTATAAAGACACACACGACGGTTTATTGCTGCTAGTGTTGCCATCAAAATCATTCAATATTTAATCCAAACTGAGACCCCCCCCCCTCATATAGTATGTTCTGTGTGCAAACAAAAGTGCCCAAGCCAGGGCGATGAATGCGCCTGAAGCAGAGATCAAATGAGCCGGTACATCTCCATCACTCTGCGGGTGCACGCTATAACATCGTCCATATGTTAGACCAGTCGTTGAATGCTGCTCAAGCAGTGAGGAAATGCACCGCCCGTGTTGAACGAACATGAAGGGATGCAAGGTGGGAAAGGGGGGGGGGAGAGGTGTCACTCGAGCAGCAACTGAACTTAGATTCTGGGTGTAGTTGTGTGCGCACTATCCCGGCAGGCATATGTGGACAGCTCGTGCACCCATCTACTATATGCTGCACTGAAAAGGCAAGACTGTGCAAAAAGTGCTGCTCTCCATGGAGCTGCCATATCCTATTGCACAGGTAATTTGTAGAGCTACAAAAGGTTGGATCAGAAACAGTTAGCTAGCCTCACTTCGTATACCCTTACAATTTGTTGCTATCATATGCATTGCTCTGCCATAGCTGTGAAAGTTCACTTTTTTTTACCCCTTTATTTCTTTGCAGATGTCTCAGTTCAGATGAAATCAGTCCTCAAATGGCATGCCTCTATTCCCTCTTATCAAGTCGCTGAGGTCCCCTTTATTATCAATCCACTTCATTTTCCCTTCTGGCCTGAAGTCATATGATTTTCTTAGGCTTAGGAACCATGGCGTGGGACTGCTGCATACAAAGTGGTTCATGCATTCCCTGGAGAATATGCTCACCTTGTCCATCTTCTCCCGGGCCTGCTTCTTGAACTGCTGGAAGCTGTCCTTCACTTGGGCTGTCTTCAGTGCCTGGCCAGGGCTATTGGCTGAAGACTGGGCTAGGCTGGACCAGGAGCCATAGTTCTTCAGCTTGGACTCGCCACTCTGCTGTGAACGGACAACATCAAATTATCAATACTGTTTTTTTCCTTTGTTGCATTTACCTTTGCATATACATTGTATTTATTTGATAAAAAAGTGCCAGCCCTGAGAGCGTAATTGTTTGTTTACCCCCTATGCATCCCCTGCCATCCGAATCTGCCACAAATGTCTCACAAAGTTACTTAATAAGGACCTGCACAGTTTGGGAAACAAAACATTGTTTGGCTCACTCGAAAGCATTACAGGGAGCATGATGCAAAAGAAAGGAGATTGGTACACGAAAGGGCATCAGAACATAGTGTCGACTTGGGACACTACGTTCATAGAATGGGAAGGATGAACTCGTACAGCTGTGGAATTGCGAAAATAGTGCCCCTTGTGGAACACACGGCCGGAATGGCGCCAGGATTTTTTTCTGGGGAGGGGGGGCAGAGGGCGTCAATTGTGTTCCCTCAGGGAGGCCCAGAACTAAATTAAATTGTGTGCATAGACACACATTGGCATCGTGTGCTTGCAGCTCTAGGAATGCTACTTACACGAAGCTCATCGATGCATGCAAACGACGTGGTAAAAAATAATTAAAAATTAAAGTATGGCCTCAGAGATGTGCATGCACGTAGAAGTGGTATCGAAGGCTGTATAATGATCCTAGTCGCTACAAAATGGCCTTCGAGACGGTCTTTTTTGTGGTCTGCCATCTCTGAGGCTGCAAAGCTTCACCACACCGGTTTGGCACGGGTGAGGAGGTGATGCCGACGTGAGGAGTGGGCTCGAGCGTTGCGAGCAGCGGAGAGGGTGCCCCTCACAACGCCCAAGCCCACTCGGTGGATAAGCTCATGCAGGCGGATAACTTCACTTGGAGGCTGGTTCTCTCTAACGATGTTCACGACTCTGGTATGTCTGTTTCTCCGTCGACCCGTTCCTTCGCGTCTTTCACTGCAACACTCATTTTCTTTTTTGTTTCTGCCAGAGGAGGACTACGTTTCGCTGGGCAAGCGTGTGGCTTTCTTATACTGGTGTCACACAGACACTTCTGAAAGGCCATCGATTCGCTGGTCCTTGAAATTCCCCAGCTCCATCAACTCGATCGAGTTGTTGCGCTGCTACATGGCAGTTTTCAATGGCCGTTGAGTGCTTATGGTATTCTTACTAAACTTGAGTGGTGCTAAAAATGCTTAGTTTCGTTTTCATGTTTTCGAAAGTGAAATCATATAAATGCACCTGAAAGTGCACATGCGTCTGTTGTTTTTTGTATAAACACATCAATAAAATGTTTACACATACTTAATAATGCATGTTTGGTGTTTACGTTGTTATACCTGTGCCACACAGGCATAAAAAAATGACATTCGATAGCGAAGGCATTCGATTCCGGAATGACATTTTTTGGCGGTGCTGCTACATGTCCAAAGCGAATGACATTTGACTTGATGATGTCGATCGCAGCACTTTCCTCGTAAGTATTTGGTGAGCAGCAATAAAAAAATTAACAAGCGTTTACAAGCTTCATACACATCCGATAATAATTTATAGAAATAAGCATATTACGCTGCCATTAGATTTCGTTCGTTACTTTGTTTCAAAATGTTGCAACCGTCCGTGTAGCAATGTAAACCGAAGCTAGTCAGATGTGCAGCGTAAAAACAATATGGCTCCTGGCGCAATTATTTTACAGTGTTTATTAGCTGAAGAGAAGTTTTTAGGGACATGTTTAAGTGATCCGTGTAAATAAAATATACAAAAAGTTTCCTTCCAGTCGAATCAATTGTCGTTTTATACAATTACTTCATCAGCTGTGCCATTGAGAGTACGCATTTCTCAGTCGAATGAGTTCTGGCGATGGCATTAAGTGACAAATGGCATTTGGGTGGATGCCATTTCGTTCATCCGTGTGGCACCGCGCGAATGACCTTCAATCTGAAGGCATTATGAGGTAAATGCCATTTTTTTTGCCTGTGTGGCACGGGTATTAAAGGGGTTCTGCAACACTTTTCGAGGATGGTCAGAAAATGCTGCCGATCGGTAGTAGAGGCTCCCGACAATACGCGAGCCAAATATTATAGCGCAGCACGTAGCCTGGAATTCACAATAAATTATCAAAGTCAGCTAAGAATTGCTTTCTCTTCTCTCAACAAGTCACAGAAAATTTGTTTGATTTGATTTATTTGATTTGTCACAGTACAGTGTAACAGGAGGCGGGGGCAAAGCCGTAATGCACGCTTGAGGGATCCTTCGCCCCCTGTGAGAACAATGGCAGCACCTGAAGAGCATCACAACATTATCACAATATCATATACCTCGTACGGGGCAGCACAATATGATATACCTTCCTCCCCTAAAACTGTCACATTGTTTTGCGTAAAGATCATGTTGTGAAAAAACAAAAAAACTGAAAAACGTGTTTTATACATAGCTTACACAAGAAAGAGACCTGATGCTATCTTCTGCACCTGTTAATAACTACATGGTTTGCACATCAAAAAGAGCTGCTAATTTTGTGGAAACACATCTATACCCTTGCTAATATAATTATTTAGAATTCTTGGAAGAGTTCATCGAAGCATCTGAAAGTCATAATTAGTACGGAAGTGAGGAACATTCCATATTTCTGTGTTCCTTGTTTTGTATGCCTTTTTATTTAAGCAAAGTTTGCCATCTCCTTAAACGAAGAGTTTGAGCGTTTGCAGCTTAGATGGTAATCCCGTAGCAGCCTGTATTCATATAGGTCATTCACTTTGATTATCTTGTATTTTTCAAACAGTGGGTTACCAGGTGCTAGAAATGTAGCGTTGTCCGTCAGCCTTAGTATTTTTTTTTTTGTATTTTCAGTAATTTTGTTAAGTTTGTTTCTGTAGTTGTTGCCCAAACCTAATAGTAATAGTCAAGATAAGAACTAAGTAGCGATTTGTATATCCATAACTTCACAAAGTTGGGAATGAGGTACCGGATACGGCTGAGTATTTTAGTTATCAGGCTTAATTTTATTTGAATATTGTTGACGTGGTCATCCCATTGCAAAGAACTCGACAAATGTACCCCATGAACTTTAACTGAATTCACTATTTCTATATCTCAGCCTCTAAATACAATATTGCTCTCCAAAGTCACTTGTCAACCTTTCGGATGAAAGCTACGGCTTTTGTTTTAGTTGCATTTATTTTTAACTTATTGTTACTTGTTCAGTTGTCTAGCTTCTGTAAGACCTCATTAGGCTTATTCAAGAGAATAACATCTGATGCTTAGGTGACAAATATACTCGTATCATCTGCATAGATAATAAACTTGACTTCTGGGGAGATATGGACTATGTCGTTATATACAAAGTGAACAATAAAGGGCCAGGAATGCTTCCTTGTGGTACCTCCTCCGATGGAGGCGGAAATGTTGTAGGCCCATGTGCTCAGATTTGAGTGCACGTTAAAGAATGGGGACGTTAAACACCACAAATCAAATCAAATCATTACCTTGAGTGTAACCGGAGGGAAGGACGTTTCATACCCCTGAATGAATTCTATATTTCAGGTGAACTCTATATTTCAGGTTCGATACTTTTTGAGCACACCTGGTATGTTCCGCATGTTGTTTAAAAATAAATGTTTTCGAATTGACTGCACGTGCACAACCATCACGCAGTATTGCCATGTAAGAAGGGGGGAACTTGGGTGCCATTTCCAACGAGCTGGCCCAGTTTTGTCCAACTATGCCGGTCGAAGGCACGTGATGAATTCTGGCTTATCTTTTGTGTTAAGGTAACGGAGACGCGTACCTTGGGGGAGCGGGAAGGGGGTGGGGCAAAACTCAGAAATAGACCTTGGTCTAGGCATGATCATCATCATCATCAGCCTGACTACGTCCACTGCAGGACAAAGGCCTCCCTCATGATCCGCCAGTCAACTCGGTCTCGTGCTTGGTGCTGCCACTTTTTAATGAAGTTATGAAGCGTGGAAACTCGGGCAAGTTGGTAGGACATTACTGAATATACAAACAGCGCAACTTAAAAGTTGTTACAGTGTAACTACGGTACCAAATATAGAATAGAAAAGAGCGTTGACTTGCAACAATGATTTGATAGTGGAGTGGTGTATATATACAGGCGAAAGAAGAGAATGGGCATGCGCAAAAGGGTGCACTGCGAAACAATATCCGCAAAACTCTTGTCTTTTGTTGATTGAACAAATACACAGCTTAAAAATGATGGAGATATGCAATCTATTGCTGCAATAGCGCAACTCATGGGGAACGTAGACATTTACATTGACATTTATGCGCAAGATAAGTTCTAAATAGCATGAGTGGAAGCCCGCGAATGTCATGATGGTTTAATTTTTCAAATAGAATGCCGTGGTGAATGTAGCCGAATGCTTGTGTGAAATCCACATATATCCCCAACCACTTCATTTTTTTGTTCAAACTGTTGTAGAATATATTCTTTTTGATCTAGTAGGGCCAGTTCTGTAGACATGTTTTTGGAAGTCATATGGCGATTTCGTCACGTTTCGAACAAAAACAAGTTAAACGACTAAATAAGCCCAGTAAGCCCTCCTATCAGTCATTGGCTGATTTGAACATGGTGCTCTCGGTAGTTACAGAGGTTGCGACAAAAGGACGTCACTTGTCCACATGTGCGCGCGATCGCACTGAGAAAGTTGCGTATTCGAAAAAAAAAAAACAGAAAAAAATTCTGAAGGTCACGAGGCGCAAGCGACGTTTTTTGTTTGCCCTTCCCATCCCTCCCTGCTCAGCTTTCAGCGCTTTCTTCGGGACAAGAGAAGAGAGAATGTGATTGCAGCATGTGACAAATCTTTGTAACCTCGCTCGTACTGGACAGATTCTTAAAACTTTTGCGGCATTCAATTTGCGAGGTAATACACTTTTCCAGTGAATGAATTCCATGGTTACTCAAAAAAGTGCTTCAGGGCCTCTTTCATCAGCAGACTGTGGCAATATTGTCACAGCATGAACAGGTGTGGCTGCCGGTTTGTGGTTGGGCAGTGTGGTTTGCGTTT